TTTCAGTTTGAAAATAACCTTTCCTAGTGTTTCATTTTTATGGAAGCAGCAATTGTGTGTTAGACAACGGATGAAAATGGAGTGTCATTCTTCATCAGATATTATGGCTTTCTACCATTATTTCTACCTCTCTGTGTTGCTCTTGCTAAACCGCAAAACACACCACATTGCCTCCTCTATCCATTTCAGATCCCTTCTCCAATCTATACCTATTAACTGCAATTTAATGCTCTTGACATAAAGAATCGCGCAAATTCGCATCCTTTTACGATGCACTATTCATTATTGAATCATTTATGTGAAGCAAACAACATGGAAACAGTTATGCTCGCTGTAGTTGCGTGAGTTACACATTCGGTGGGCAGAGAGGAGTGTTTGGGTTTTTGACACATAGTTCATTTTTCGTGTTGCACGTGGAACCAGGGAACGTAGTGCAGTCGTCATCGACCATACATGGACCAGATCCGACTTCATAGATCATGCTGAAGTAAGTCATGGCTGTGCTAAAAAACGAAAGCAATTGCTGGTAGTGATTTGGAATTTAGTAGTGTGGTGTATTTGGATGACGTGTCACTACAAGTGTTCAAGGCAAATCTTAGAGCTAACTGAATTTTAAACGATTTTAGATTTCGCCTGATATGACTAGACTTATTGCTACGTGAACAACATAAAATGTTACAGCTCAGATCAACAGTGCAACTTTCTAAGGAGGGCTAATTCGCATTACAAATTCAAAGCTCGTAAATGGGAATGCAGTCGCTAAGTCAACCATCAAAGGTGAGGAAATGAACTATATAAAAAAATAATAGCGTAGGTGAAGGAACAAAGCGAACGGACAAGAGCAGACATTTTATAATTGTTCATGCCATTTTACATTCGAAGATACTTTCATACACAATACGTGTATGTGCGTATATGAAGCACCAATGAAGAACAATGTCGTACAATCGGAGCTTTCTTTATTGCATTTTTTTTCTGTTCAGTGCTTGTGGGATTACGTTGAAGATGCAGCAGCCATCAAGCAAGAGTTTATGAGAAGAGAGAGGAAAGAAAAGAATAGAGAAAGAAAGAAATGTGCTCAGAAATAATTATTGTTCCTTGGAAGAAGACATTTAAACTAACCAGACATCGAATGCGCAATACACCTGTTTTTGACCATAACAAGTGTCGGTGCAACCTATGCTGTTAGCGTATCCCGAAACCAACTGAAAAACATACATTTGTGCTAACAGAAGCGCAGTTAATATGGACTCTGTGGCTGAACTCACTTGGGAAAATACAGTATAGTCAAAATTCGGGTCGTAGACGGCAGTGCTGTTGATAAAGGCACCAAAGTCGTGATTGCCCCACCACGAATCAAATTTTGCTGCTATTGGGATAGGTGATAGCTTCTGAAATAATGAGAAGTTTCCCATAGCCGTTTGTGTGAAATTCGCTCTGATCCGTGATACCCAGAGAAATAAAGTTTCCGTAATTCAACCTAATTGTAGAAAGTCTTGTTTCTCTGGAGAACTCTATCATTTCATGAAGCTAGAAAGGATTCAAACAATAGAGTACTCAATAGGACTGAGTGCCGCTTGTGATTGCAGACCATCATTGCGTAGTCCTCAGCCGTGCACGAATAGTTCTAAAAAGGTTGATTGAGACTGAAGTTCTAACAGTCACTTAATCTTAGCACCAGCTCTTGACGCTTGATGAATTTTGTGATATTCGCGATCATCTAGAATACAAAATAAGCTAGCAGAAGTCATGTAGCTTCTGTAGTTCTAACAAAATCCGAATGTTTTTGTTCCTTTACCTTCTTTGCCACACCCATTCAGAAATGCAGCAGTGGACGATTATGGTATTAACCACGTTGTGTGTCCTTTTAATCAATTCACTTTTAATCTCGAGCGTAGCTGAGGAAAAACTAGAGAGCCATTGTAGCTTCGGAAAAATAGCGGAACTTTCTGAGCAATCAAGTTGTTTTGCCACGTCAATTTCGCAATGTTTTACAGGAGATAATCACGTTGGCAAAATATGCTCGATGACATGTCTCTGCCCTTTACAAATCAAAGCGTATTTAAGAGACATGGGTCACTGTGGTGATCGTAGGAAAGCAACAAAATGTTCCTCTGCAATATATTATTTGCACTCACGGTCAGTCCTTTTGCCTTTTCACTTTCCAAGAAGATTCTTCAGTATTACTAAACAGGTTTTGGTGTCTTCGGTGGCTCCAGCGAATGCTGTATTACCAACCAAGGCTGTCTCACATGGTGAGTAGTCTTATAGGCATGACATGTTCCTTAGAAATTCCAGTAAAGAACCTGTCGTTAATCCCATATTAAAAAGTACTAAACAGTAAGATACAAAGCATGTATCTCGTTGAGAAGTGCTATCGTTGCGATTGTTCCGAGCTGTCGGGGTTGCACAGTCCTTTTCGACACACGATTAGTTAGGTAATGGTCAATATTGACTACGCTTACTAACACTCTGTTTCGCAGTAAGATTCCATGCAAGTACTGAGCCAAGTCCTGCCAAAGTAATTGGAGTGTGTGAAGGACTGTCTATTGACTGTCTTCTCGTATACGAACGGTGTAGGGAGTTTGTTAATTTTCTATTCAATTGCAAAAACTGTACTTATAAATGAAGTGCCAAACATGGCTCAACTTTTTACCATGAAACGAAGACATATTTGTCTGATAACTTTTGCTCGCTTTGTCTGGTCTTTTCCGGCATTTTCGGTGCAAAAATATCTTGGTCATATTGCCTATGTAGAGCTTGGATTCACCAAAAATTCCAACTTCCTCAAAATTATACCGTTGTCAAAGTACAGGACGCCCTAAGTCTACATCATTCAGCCATACGGAGTTCAAATAAAAACTAAGCATAATGGTGCTTCAAGCACGAATTGAACCTCCAAATTTCGATGGGAAACAAATGGAAGTTCCGGTAGTAAGTGAAAAAAACAAAATATCAACCACTGGGAAATGACAATGGTTGACTACTGCAATTAATGTTGACTGAAACTCATATGTCTATACTGCGCTTCAATAGACGGCCATTCTTAACGCTTACCATAAGTCTTGGCGGCCATAAAATTCTATTAGAAAATTTTCGAAAATGTACAAAGTGAGCCGCTCAATATGAGAAACATTGCAGAATTCGATTGCAGGATCAGCGGCTCTACCATGACGCCCAAAAAACGAAAACTATCCGTCATGCTGGCCAACGCTTATCGTACAATCGCAACAACTGGAGTGTTTGGAGATCCACCAAGTCAGAACATGTATAAGCTGGTGAGTGTGTGCGATTCGGCGTCAGTGCAGTACTATGCACCGCATTCAGAAACGAACCAGCAACTATAACCAGAGGTAAAGCTATCAACAAAAAATATCATTGAATACTGGAGTATTCCCACCCCACTGCGCACCTTCAATTTTGTTGAGTCTGATACGTCTGCCTGTTACTCAGTGCTACAAGAAATTGCTTCTGGTAAGCTCCAAATCGCTACGGTCGGCTATGCAGGGGCGTCAAGAGCTGGTGCTAAGATTTAGTGACTGTTAGAACTTCAGTCTCGATGTACAACCTTTTTAGAACTATTCGTGCACGGCTGAGGAATACGCAATGATGGTGTGCAATCAACAAGCGGCACTCAATCCTGTTGGGTACTCTATTGTTTGGATTTTTTCTAGCTTCATGAAATGATAGAGTTCTCCAAGGAAACAAGATTTTCTACAATTAGGTTGAACTACGGAAACTTTATTTCCTTGGGTACCCCATATCAGAGCGAATTTCACACAAAAGGCTATGGGAAACTTCTCATCATTTAGGAAGCTATCACCTATCCGAATAGCAGCAGAATTTGAGTCGTGGTGGGGCAATCACGACTTTGGTGCCTTTATCAACAGCACTGCCGTCTACGACCCNTGGTTAGCTTAAGTGTCTTCTTCCAAGCAATAATAATCAGTTCTGAGTACATTTCCTTCTTTCTCTCTTCTTTTCTTTCCTCTCTCTTCTTATAAACTCATGCTCTGATGGCTGCTGTATCTTCAACGTAATCCCACAAGCACTGAACAGAAAAAAAATGCAATAAAGAAAGCTCCGATTGTACGACATTGTTCTTCATTTGTGCTTCGCATACGCACAAATCAGCATACATGTATTATGTATGAAAGAATCTTCGAATGTTAAATGACATAAACAATTATGAATAATGTTTGGTCTTGTCCGTTTACTTTCTTCCCTCACCTACGCTATTATTTTTTATATTTTTAGCTCATTTCCTCACCTCTGATTGTTCACCTAGCGACTGCCTTCCCACTTACGAGCTTTAATTTATATGCAAAGTAGCCCTCCTGAGAAGTAGCACTGTTGATACATATGAGCTGTGACATTTTATACTGTTCACGTAGCAATAAGTTTATTCATATCAAGCGAAGTCTAAAATCGTCCAAAATTCAGTTAGCTCTGAGATTTTCCTCGAACACTTGAAGTGACACGTCATTCAAATACACCGCATTACTGAATTCCAAATGACTTCTATCAATTGTTTTCGTTTTTTAGCACAGCCATGACTTACTTCGGCATGATCTATGAAATCGGATCTGGTCCATGTATGATCGATAGCGACTACACCACGTTCCCTGGCTCCACGTGCAACACGAGACTATGTGTCAGAAACCCAAACACTCCTCTCTGCCCGCCGAATGTGTAACTCACGCAACTACAGCAAGCAGAACTGTTTAAATGTTGTTTGCCCCACATAAATGCTTCAGTAATGAATAGTGCATCGTAAAAGGATGCGACTTTGCATGATTTCTCATGCCAAGAGCATTAAAATGCAGTTAAGCATAATAGGTATAGATTGGAGAAAGGATCAGAAATGGATAAAGGAGGCAAAGTGGTGTGTTTTGCGGTGGAGCAAGGGCAACACAGAGAGGTAGAAATAATGGTAGAAAGTCATAATGTCTGATGAAGAATGACACTTCGTTTTCAACCGTTGTCTAACACACAATTGCTGCTTTCAGAAAAATGAAACACTGGGAACGGTTATTCCCAAACTGAAAACAAGGTCAAAGGACAAATAAATATTAACGTGATTGCTCAGCGATCAATTGTTGTCCAGCATTGCATATCAGTTACCCAGTCTGCTCGGCCAACTTCTCCAACCCATCCCGCGGGATCAGCTAGGGCAGTTGGCTTCATTGACTTAGAGTANCAATCAACCTTGGTATGACGGCCGTACAGTCACGTTAAACAAAAATCCATTAGGTTCTGTAATCTGTCGAGACAAGACTATCGCGAATAGGTGATGAACATTCTGACACTCTTTCTCTAACTATCATAGCAGCCCTAGTATGTGGACCTACCTCGGTTCGATTGGTATTATTTCAATTACTGTCGAAAAGTTAAAAAAGGCAGTGAAACAGTGCTAGAATTGTTTTGGAGTTTGGATTTTGGATTAAGTGGGAACCTGATCTATAACCGCTGAAACTATTTGCGTAGCCGACTGGAACAAGAAAAATAGGGATCTTTCGATATTCCACCGTACAAAAGCACTGCTAAAATTTGGCAGACATACACTGTCAATCCGAACAATGTTCGCAATTGTGCAGTGTACCATCGAGTGAGTATAGAACTTCATTCAGTATCATTGGGTACATAGTACTTCACAAAGTGGCTCACTCGATTCTTGAACAGTGTGATCGCTAAAGGAAGAATCCCCGGTGCGTGGAGGAGCAGTACTATCGTTCCCATCTTCAAGCATGAGAAAGTGTTCCAAATGCCGGGGAATGTATGCTCACACGATGAAACTGTACGAGCGGCTGGTCAACTCAAGATTGAGAGAATTGGTCCCAATCGCGCAGGAGCAATTCGGCTTCAGACCTGAGAAGTCTACAACGGATGCCATCTTCATAAGTAGGCAAGTGATGAAGAAGTGTCGAGAAAAGCGTAGACCCTGCTACCTAGCCTTCCTCGGTCTGGAGAAGGCATTCGACCGTCTTTCGCGACAAGCTCTCTGGAGAGCGCTTCAGAAGCGAAACGTCATAGAACACCTCATCTCCCTGGTCATGGACATGTACGATGGTTTCATGATAACAGTACGTACTCCACACGTCCAAACCAGAGCAATAGATGTCACCGCTGAGGAACACCAGGATCAGCTCTGAGCCCGTTCCTCATCCTGCTCACGATGGACGTCATCACAGAAGAACTCATGGATGGACCACTGAAGAACATCCTCTACGCTGATGTTATCGCTCTGATAGCGGAAAGCAAGGAAGAACTACAAAGTTCTAAGAAAAGAAAAGAAAAGAAAGGTGTATTGGACAGTGGCAGGGCTCACGATGCTCTACGGTAGCGAGTGTTGGTCCGTAAATAAAACCCATGGAGGAATGCGTCACTCCGCTGAAAAGAGGATGCTCGGATGGGCTTGCGGCTGGACGCGGCTGGATCGGGTCAGAAATGAAGACGTCAGGAAAGCTAGGCAAACAGCACCGGTTAAACTGGAAGTGAGAGAGCAGCGCCTGGTTGGAGCATGTATTAAGAAGTCACAGAGCCATCCGATAAGGGAGGCAATGGAGTTCCAGGCTTAAGGTAAGAAACCACGAGGATCCCTGAAGAAGAGATGGCAGGATGTGATCAGAAAGGACCTCGCCGAAGCTAAGGTGACGGCAGAAGATGGCGTAGATGGAATGAAATGGAGACGGCTGCCAAGAACAACGGACCCTGCGACGGCGCGGGATTAACCTAGGGAATAGAAGAAGAACTCCTTTACGTGAGCAAACTACATCGTTCCGGAAGCTTCTTATCTAAGCTATAGTGTCTGGCGCGTAAGTATTATTACACAATATTCCATTTTTATTGAGAATACTATAATTATTCTCAGATCGGTGCAATTTCAAAAATGGAATAATAGTTGGAGCCATCGATGGTGTCGCTCGAGGAGCGATGTGATCAGTAGTGCTCGATGAGCAAAAGCGGAACGATGGAATCTCTGCCAATTTAGAAAACTTCAGATGCCAGGTTGCAAGAGGTCTCGCTAATGACGGGCAAGATGGTACTACTCCAATGGCGGGAAAATGATGAGGATGGTGAGTTTTTAGTGTGATACCATACAACGCACAATAGAGTTGGTGAACAATGTTTGGTATATTTCAGAATTACGATTAAAATTTGAAAAAAGTATGATGAAATGGCTGGAAAATGCATATTACGGTTCTCTAAGGGCGGAACCGAAGAGCATCTTCGGTTGTCACCTAACACACTTCTAAAAAGCGCCCGCTGAGACAATGGTGAGATATTCGGATCTGATAATGAGTAGAATTATTCTGTGCTAGCCAAAAGTTCTTCGACGATCATCAGAATGTTTTCTACTGAAATAGAAACCTGAAATGTCTTGAAAGATAACAAAATGATGTTGCAAGTATTCAACATGCAAGTATTGTTGCAAGTATTCTGGCACTATATCCTGGTAATTCCACAGCCTAGCAACGAAGTTGAATGCTTATCAAAACTTACAACCAGTTACGAACTTTGAATCGTGGCATTTCCTTGTAATGCTTCCGTCCTTCTAAATTTCTTAGTTCCAATAAAAACCTAGTTCCAAAGGAAATTTGATTGGAGCCAATCACATGAGAAGGGATTTATGTTTAGACAATGTGTAATCGTCAGCAGTGCTCTTGTAACAAAAGCGAATGTCTGGGATGCCCATGAAATGATGTTCCACCAACAAAATTTCACCATTACCCCAATGGCTCACTTATCAAATCTTCAGTAACAAAAACCATATCCGAAGACATGCTCAAAAGTTTCGGAAGATCAGATGAGACTTGCTGTAGTCATATAGTGTTTACCCTCCTACACAATCCATGCGAGGCAGTCGAATATGTTGCACGAGGTTTGACGCCCCGACGAGTATACTCTGTTTTTGAATAAAATAGCAGCAAGTGGTGTGCAAACAGAAAAACGAATGATGATATTAATTGTATTTTGATTTGTAAATGGCTTTCGATTCTGTCGAGACAGAAGCCACAGGCAACCAGTTTTACACTCTTGTACCTTATTTCTAAGCGGGATCGGATAATCGCCTGCTTTGGGCTAGATTCTATCTTCTAATGCGTGCATATAGAGCTGAAAAAAGCTCTCCTTTAATGTTATTGAAGATTAGGGGGAATCATGCACTAGGAATCCTGACCTATCAGCGCTTCCGCGGGGTGGAAGTATGCTGCCAAGATCCCAACTTTGCATAGAGGAATCATTATCTCTCTCTAGCTTAATCACTAGAATACATGTTACGCTAATAGATATGAACTTGGAACTGACGTCCAATCAACCTTCAAAAAGAGTACGATGGAGCCCCACCTGAGAGATGTCGAATAACTACTGAAGCGCTGGCGCTAGGCTATAGATAGCACTGCATATTCTGAGACATTAGATATGAACAGTTCATTCGATGTGTAGGAGCTCTTCCGCAGTGGATGTCGTAGGACGTTAACTATCAAAACGACCAAAAACAGTTCACGAGTAGACGCGGCCTTGCGATTACTAATATCGGCCTTATATTCTCCATATAAAAGTGTCGAGAGTGGAACGGTGCAATGTTGATGAAGTGACACAGCTTTGATGAAGTCTTGATGACTAGTCTGTTAAACCTCTGAATCATCTGACTTCTTTTGCATAAATCTCCCCTTATCGAAATCAGAGGACACACACATATCGTATATAATGCTGATTGATAAGGCTGAATGTAACCTGTGCTTTCCTGCTGCGATCCTACCAACCTCCATACACATTTTCTTCTTGCGTTGTTTTGCTGAATTCAATTGAAAAAACAAAAATCAACTTTTCTAGTATGCTTTTTAAACATACACATGTTTACTGGTCGATTTTGCTTCCATCGAATAGTTCTGTTACAAATGCTTTTTCTGTTCGCGATAATCGCGAGCCATCGGAGTTATGCACAAGTTTGCTTGAGAATCTTCAGGCAGGAAATTTCGACGATGAATCGCGCTCAATGATGGGAAATCGAAAGATTTCATGGCTGTCGAAATACGTTGAACTGTCTACAATATCAATATTCTTTTTTCAGAGCTATCAAGTGTGACATGAAACTTTTTGTATGCTTTATCGTTGCCCCTTTCGCCGTTGCTGCAGTTCAAAAGCTCGCGCTTACGTGGAATAAACCGAGAAAGGTAGTTTCCCTCGAATAAAGCCTCAGCAGGTGTTAGGAACGAGGCAATACGCGTTATCAATTTCTTTTCTCAGAGATGTAAACATCCCCTCAAAAGACGGCATAGAACAGAAGGGTTATCTACTTCAAATTGGAATTTGATGTAAGAGGTTTTTTTGGGTGGTGTATTGATTCCGGTTTAAGAGTAGGGTTTACGTTGTTGGCTACTGGTTGTGTAGAAGAAATTTTAGAACAAAATCCGAGTTATAGATCAGGCTTTCCTTGGCGAACTTACTCGCCGGAGCATGAGGTCACTCTTATTTGAGTAAGAAAAGCATGATTCTGTATGCACTTAAAACGAGAAAGGTATCAATGCCGCGCAACTCAAGCCCAGCAAGGACGAGCACTTAGTTACAGTAAGAAAGAAGTAATCAGGTTGAGACCCCTATGGATCCAAGTTCGTGTTACAGTATGGCCGCCTTTTCTGTGAAAAGTTTCTTGAGTGAAAAATAATCCCTACAGTGGCTATCTGGGATCTGTTATTGGAAAATTCTAGATCCCGATGTAATCTTTATTAGCTTTCCTTAGATTGTTTTCCATAAAAAAGGAGCGAGTTAGAAACCGAAGGTGCAAAGCGAAACGCTCAGCTTGTGAGTGCCAGGTTTTGCTAATGTAATACACACAGATGCAGGGGTCGATGTCATTGGAAAATTCTAGATCCTGATATCTGTTTATGAGGAATTCTCATCAAAATTATCAACTCCCCTACGCTTGAAGTTCACGTCTCCATTGCTACAATGAACGATTCCCAAGAAAAAATTGGGTAAAATTGCTGGACCCCCAAGGTTGTTCCCAAGGTCTGATTTGGATCTATCTAAGAACTTATATTATGTAGTAACTTTCCTACCAATCATATGTACTACGGTCCTTCTTAGTGAATTCATATGACGTGAAAGATTTTCAGCCGCTAGTTCATGTGTATGTGCCTGGTCTCCGACATAAAGTTCAGATGGGAGCACTGTCAATACCACGGTTCTGATGCAGCACATGAGAAGATAAGGGCATTGGGTTGATAATTCCACTAATCTTTCTTTTAAGGCACTGATTTCATGCAAATTTGTAACATTCGATATTTGTTGATCGCGCGTTCAACCATACACACATCACTACCTCGGCAAGATACATTTACGGGAGCATTCTTTATGTTTTCCAGCAACGGTAAAGCAGCCAACGCTTTTCTCAAAATGCAACGAGGGATAGGAATCATAGAGCCTCCCGCTCAAGGCTGACTCTCCACCAGAGTATCACAGCTTAGGTCTACAGTTTAGAATTGGTCCTCCTCACCAAGATCGAGCACAAAGAGCTTCCACCACATCGGATGAAAAAAAAATCGTGGGATGTCTTCTTCATTGCAATCAATTCAAAGAAGTAAGAAGCATTGCAAAGTGTCAGAGACCTTCATCTGACCCAAGAACTTCAGCGTGCTTTTGTTTCTCATGCTAAACTATAGAGTATTACCTAGCTAATGGAAGGATAACTTGCCTTACAAGTCTTCATACTACTCATAATTCACAGTATAGTAATTCAGCGATCCTAGTACGCGTAAATTGAAAGCCTGGTCAAGGAACTATGACGCCGATCGAAAAATGTCGTTTCGTAACAGGCCGTGACCGGGTGATTCAGTGGTTTGCAATACTAACTCCAATGATAACGGTGCAAAATTCAACAAGTATAATGTAAGTACGGAACTTACCGCAATGTAGACACGAAATGATAATATTGATAAGACTTTATCAAAATTCGAAGTCTACATCTTGCCCATGACATTGTCAGAAATAGAAGCGAGGAAGAAGTCAGTAGCACACTTTTCGTGTTCCCGCTTGACCCGCACAATTTAGGGGTGTGAGCTAGGTTAGATAGACGGTGAGACGACGAAGTAGCGATATGGGATCGTCGCCTTAGAGGATAATAGCCCTCATATTTTTGTCGATATCCCTCCCCTTTTGAACGTCTGGCATCCGACTGTTTATACATGATGTACCTCTTTTTGACCTCCGGTCCAAGCTCGTCCATACTATGCTCTCCTTAAAATTCTTACTCTACGCATGACAACTAAACAAACTACAGCGCTTCTGATAAAGTCTGTATACAAGCTACCAAAACCCATTCAGAGTGGTCAACCGAGAAGCGCTGAAGAAATGTTAACGTAATCTTTTCGTTCAGGTATTAAATTATGGAGACTTGGAATATGCAACAGCGGTCACAATTGGTACCCCTCCGCAAGAGTTCATTGTGGCATTGGCTCTCAACGCTCCTGTTTTGTATGTGCCACATCCAGATTGCAAAAAGTAAGTTATGGCATAGAATAGCAGTAAAAAGGTGAAACATAGGGAGTATCCATGTCTTCAAGGACCAATTTGCCTGCGATTCTACAAAGCTAAGTGGCGCACTNTCACACACGCATGGTCCGGGATCGAATAACGGACCGACACAGGCCTAGGTCAACTAAGCCTTCCGCCCGGGTCTGGTATCTTTTCCCCAAACGACGTGTCATGCTCGCCGCATTGGCTTTTTCTATTGCTCGCTATTTTGGCTTTTTCTATACTGGAGCACTGCTAATGTCGACACTATGACTGGTATTCCTCGCATTCACCGAAATAATTGTGTCCTGTCTTCCTGGGCGTCATCAAAACTAAACATAATTTTTTCCAGAAAACCATGTGACCAAAGGCGGAAGTTCAGAATCAAAGACTCCAGCACATTCAAAAGTGGCTCTAACGAGACATTAGTTGCTCGATTCCCCATAGGCACCGCTAACTTTGTAGCGGGCACGGATACAGTGGCTGTAAGTGGTCATAATTTAATTGACCTTTATAATCGTCATCTTTAATATACTGCATAAAACGCACTCGCAACGGTCTGTCCGTCCCGCCCTCTGTCTCTCTGTTGTTTGTCTATTTATTTATTTGTTCAATTGTTTGATTATTTGTTTGCCTGTCACTGAATCCGATATTACGTGAAGAAGCACCTCGAGAAATCGGGTCAAGATCGCGATAGGATGAGCACAAGGAAAGGTCAACAGGGAACATGCGAGCCTAGCGGAGCTCCGGCAAAAGAGGAGATGGGGGAAGGGGGATGGGTTGGCGGTACCTGCACAGTGTAGTGGGCGGTGTCATGGGCTAAACTTCTTTTTTGTTCTCAATAGCCCAGAGGTCGGGAAAATAAGCAAATGTGAGGATTATTCAACAAATGCAATGAAGGAGACCTACCCGCTGAGGGCGAAGCGTAGACACAAGTGGCAGTATTCCTAAATAAGTTCTTAATACGATTCAACAAAGGCATGGAGGCCAGAAAAAATAGAAAAAAAGGAAAAGTGGTTGGAGACCGTGAAAGAAATGCGTTCAAATTCTCAGATTGGGAGGAGTTCGCACCAGCGCGGATGGAAGTAAAATCGGAAATCCATAACTGTGTACAAAAAAGTAGAGAGAATAAGGTCAAATTTTTTGTTTGGGCGGCGCTTGCACTGAGGTGAGAGACTAAGACTGAGAATTCATAGCACTGTTCAAAAACGTTCTAGAATGTGAAGAAAATGGTGTAGAGCAGCGGAAAGAAGGGCAGTTGAACTTTCACGGTCGAAGGGGTCTCCATGGTGGACGGAGCTAACACCAAGAAACCGTAGTTGTGCTCGAAATTACTTCAGAAAACGAAGAAAGTGAAGGTCATTGAAAGAAAATTGGTCAAGGATGGAGCTTTTACAAGGTTAGAGGTTAAGGAAAGAACATAGGCCTCTGACTGGACTTGAGCTTTCATTGAGTCGGACAAAATGGAGCTGAAATCGAAACTCGTTCCCCTGGCTAAAGGCGCCATTAGCATTTCAAACTGCTCTATATGTATTCTACCTACACATATCATTATTCGAAATGAACAGAGCACATATGAGCTCAGAGGCGCTCCACTTGCAAGGAGAGGGTAGGGAGAAACATCGACCGGAATGGATCGTGCAGTGAGAACGGATTTGGTAATTTTGCTTAAAAAGCCCAGACACCCAGAAAATGGGCAAAGTTAAGGAGTTGATCAACAAGAATGAGGCTCATTCGAATTTATGAAGCTCATGGTTTCCGAACTTTTCGATAACCTCGTAACTCACTGCAGTCTACACCCATGTTTTAGAGGGGTGCAGCTCAGATCGAAAAATTCAACTCTGTTTGATGGTTCTTTTTTTTTGTGAGTGCGTTAGTGTGTGGAGCCAACTATAGATCATGGTCGTTCTTCACAGGAAGACTGTGTACGTTCAAATTTCAACATAAATAAGATTGAAGTGGAATTGCTTGTTAGATATGTACTGGAAACAGTTCAATAGGCTATAACGCAATTTGTCGGTATTTGCCGCCATTCGGATCCTAACTGTCAGCTCACTCATGTAACCAAAGATAGTACACAAGGATTATCCGTACTATGATTAAAGCGCTCTGTCTGTCTGTCTGTTTATTTGTACGGAAATTGGATATAATCTGACAAAACAGAAATGCTGGAGAAATCGGGTCAAGTTTGGAATGGGTTGAGCATAGGGTAAGTGCAGCAGAGCACATGTGAGCCTAGCGGAGCTCCTCCCCCAGTGGAGGGGGCATGCGCCGGAATTGGGCGGGGTCATGGGCAAAATGTTCTCATTTGGTCTCATGACAGTCCAGACGCCGGGAAAAAATGTGCAAAGGTGAGGGGTGGGTCAACAATTAAAATGAGGAAACTTACCGGCGGGGGCGGAGCGTTTTCACGGTAGGCGGTACTTTCCGCAGAGATTCGTAACTCGATCCAACGGAGGCGTCGAGGCCAGGGAAAAAATAAAAATAGTGAGCAAGGCCTTCTGCGTGCTGGGCATGCGTAAGCTTAGCGAGGCCCTGCCCACGATGGGCGGTGGGTGCGTTGAGGTGAAAGCTGTTTTTCGAAAATAAGTGTTACTTAGTTCAGAAACGTTTTAGAGTGCGGGAAAAAAGTGGTAAGAGGTAATGGAACAAATGTGGCGAAATCTTCGAAGTGGACGCGGCTGGCAGTAAAGTGGGCGGGGCTCAGATCGAAATTTCATAACTCTGTTCAGAAACATTCTAGCATGCGGGAAAAAGTGGTTAGAGGTAATGAACAAAAGTGGTCAAATACTCGAAGTGGACGGATCTGGCACAGGAAAGCGGGGCCAGGACCAAAAATTCATCTCTTCAAACCAAACTTCCTAGAATGCTGAGGAAACGGATAGGAGAGGTAAAAGAAGGGTGGTCAAGTTTTTATAGTGGGACGGGTCTGCACTGAGGTGGATCGAGCTATGATCAGCCACTAATAATTCGATGTTATTCTGATAATCCAACATTCCGCTGAATAGCTCCATCGCTAGACAAGCGGTCGTCGACATATAATGCACGCGTTAGCGTGCGTAGCCCAACAAGTATAGCATCTTTTTCAGCTTGGTGGCTTGGATGAAAAGGGTCTTGTTATCAAAAATATGGATTTCGGCCTTGCTACACAGATAACGCCATCTTTCCCACAGGTTGGTTTTCAGCTCACTATTTTTATTTTTCTCTTTCCGCTCCTTCCCATTCTATCTATTGGCAAAACTCTCATTTCAATTTATTGTATTTAAGGAGCCATTTGATGGCGTTCTCGGACTTGCTTTTGCAAGGTTCATCGGAAAAATGGTTCCTCCGATAGTGAAAGCATACACTGAAAGTAGGTTAACGACGGTAATTCTTTTAAAGTCTCTACGTAGTGGCAAGTGACACACTATGACACTAGCATGGTCTGAGGCTCGAATCCTAGATCGATATATGCTCTGGTGGCTGGATATGGAGAACGTCCGTTGCGCGTGTCCATCGAAAGTAGGTCACCCCGCCCACTTCGCGCGCGGCGCATCACACTGAGGTCTCGAGGTGACATTACAGTACTACCAAGTGTCATTGGAGCAAATGTTTTGCATGTGTCTGTGTTATCTTCTTCTTAAACTGACTGCCGTGGACCAAACGCAAAGCGTATGCCCCAGTGATAATTGCGACGTCTGTCAAATATCGCGGGCCGACCGCCGCGTGCGTCGGCTGCGGCGTGACCTAGTTTCGAAGGACACGCGCAACGAAGCGCACCCGGCTGGATATAGCCTTCCTTCCCTCTGTGGTCGATTAATTGGTATCTGGGAGGATAGTACAATTCTGTGCACAATTTGGCTACCACAAGTCATTGTATAGCTTATTTGGGCCTTCAAAAAACGCTACTAAGTTGATTGATGGAAACCTAATACGAGAGGCGCATCCCAGGAGCGGAATTGATGAGGCCCAGAAAGACTTCCCGTTTCATACTTATAGCTATGGGACACGAGTGCATATTAAACCTCTAGGAACATTTGACAAATAGCTCACTGGCCTCGGGCTGCTTTGGCATCACAAGGGTTGCAGCTGTGAGGATACCCGTTGGGTCAGGGTACTGGCAGGAAAGGAGGATTCACCAAGTAGGCTACCTTTGATTGGGCGCACTCATACTAGGCGCGGGTACCCGCACAACATTGCGCACCAGTCTAAAACTCACCAGATCAAAACTCGCGTTCGATGACTCATGCTGCGGGATGACTATTTGGCTGCTTTCATAGTCCGCCGGCCTTCATGCGAGAGCGCGCGACGACCGGGGACAACTCGGCCTAAGGAATCAATCAAGATTCACTTTTAAACATGTGGCAGGGGCTGCCCCCGACTGGCGCGCGCGCTCGAGGGCCGGCGGACTAGAAAGCAGCCTTTGAGATAATCATGCTCGTTTTCCTCATCGCTCGTTGCAGATTATGTTGCAAATTTTGTTTTTATCACGTCCTGTGCCGATGACCAGTCTTTCGTGTGGGTAATGTTCGCGAGAGCCCATTATTTTTCCACTTATTTTTTTATCCCTCTTCTCAGCATTTTGTTGTGGGAAATTTTCTATTTCATTTTTTCTGCTTTTCCTACTCTATTTTTCTGCTTCATATTCTAGTTTGTACTGATGCGTTATGCGTGCCTTTTTTAATTCTTACTATTCTTACTCCTTATTTCGGAATCAAAACACGCCAGTACTAGCTAGAATATAGTATAAAACAGGAAAAAATAAAAGCAGAAAAATAGAATAGAAAAAAATAGAAAAAATCTTACGAAATATTCTGAGAGGAGAGGGATAAAAATGAGCTCACGCGGACGTCACGCACACACACGACAGGTCTTAGGCACGGAACGTGATAAAAAATAAAAATCACAACAAAACCTGCAACGAGCGAAGAGGAAAAGGAGCATGATTACTCGAACAGTCACCCCGCAGAATGAGTCATCAAATGCGAGTATTGATAGGGTTGATGTCGTAGACTGGACTGAATTCATAGTAGGTGCGGGGACCCGTACGACCGTGAAATCATTCAAATTGCTGAAATTATGAAATTATCAAACTGATTAATCAGGTTGGGTTATGCTCAATTAGGAATTACCAAATAACGGCACATTCTGGGCTCTCTCAAACTTTTCTCCGCGGTTGCCATTGCGGTGTTCTATTTATCGGGTGGTCTAATCGGCGTCGCTGCCTTTGCTAAAGAGAGGTTATTGAAGCCAAAAAATCTTCATCAGTTTCTGATAGATTGAGCAGAAAAGAGCTCAGTTTTTAGAAAAAACGATATATCACGATATTATATCGTATCTTCAGAATTTGTTGAGCATTTTTTCAAAGGTATAGTTCTCGATGAAAATGGTTCTCAAGATTTCGCCTCAGGATGAACCTGTGGCCTCAAAGAATAGCCTATGAGATATTGTCGTGCTGAAAAAGGATCTAGACAGAACGTAGTAAGAAGTCCAAAATTGGATTGACTGACGTACACACTCAAAAATGGCCGAGCCGTGACGACTGTTCTGAGGCTACACCATTCACAAAAAGCGCTAGAACGCCGGCGAATAGTACGCTAATGCAGGAGACACCATGACAGTTACGGACACCGATGCATTTATACGGAACCTGCTTTCATACATCTCCTATTTTTTCACAAGGAAACATCAAACATCACCGATTTTATGCTCCGAGAGGGCGATGATTGCCATTATTCTCCTTTATAGCACCAGTTTTTACGCTACTGAGGCAACTAACAACTTCAAATAGCACTTTCTTTCAGCGTCGTTATCTCTTACCAACCTCTTTGCTCTACTTCTGATGCCTTATATTCTTTGAATTTGCAGCTTCCTTCGCCATCCTTACACTAAGTCGCACCATGCAAGGATAAAGGATAGTCTTTCGGCGTTGACCAATCCGCATACAGCCTCCATTCAGAATCACGATGTCGTATATCTGCTGCCCATGCAGTGACTTGCGGCGGCTAGCCGATATACAACTCAGCGCTTTTATCTCTCCTAGAGGATCCAGTTACCAATTAACCGATCCCAGAGGAATGAAAGGCTAGGTTGACCTATCTGGAATTGAACCCGTGGCCATGCATTTATGATAGCGCGTCATTTGCCACTACATCACCGCCTTATTCTTCCTCGTAACTTCATTACCTCACTCAAGCCGAATACCTCAGGATTATCGTAAAGTGGGCCTTGAAAAGTCTACCATGAAAGAAATGTTGCGGCGCGCGTCGGCTGAAAATAATATTCCTTTATTGTGTTTTTGCTTTTGATCTTATGCTTCCATTTAGAAGTCATCGACAAGCCTATGTTCACGGTGTGGTTAGCGTCTCATGGAGTAACAGCACTAAAGAAGCCAGGTGGTACAATAACCTACGGGGGTGTGGATGATGACAATTGCGGAGCCGTGATTGGCTATACCAATTTGACAGATCCACAATTCTACCAATTCAAGGTCCTTTCTTTCACTATATTCCAACCGTCACCTTTTTTTTTTACAGAGTTTATAGTCAATGAAGTAATTTTCTTCTGCTCAGAGAAAAATCTACCAATCTGTCTCATGCACGCGTCGAGTTCAGGTCCAACACCACAGAGGTTCCCGAAAGTGTTCCATCTATTTCTATCCATTTCATCATTCTATCCATCTTACAGCCATGGGAAGTCGCTATTTATCAAGCGCTTTATCCGTATTGCACGTTTTCGGATGGCATACCTTATACTCGATCTCTCTCGAACTCCCGCGACATCAAACCGTCAGAAGGACTGCAACCTGGTACCAAGCAGCCTCACCTACATACATAGCTCACCTACCAATAAAGAACCACGAAAAACTACTTATAGATTTTTACTTTTACAATTTTTTTTTCAAAATGTTCCTGAAGTGGTTCGAGTGTTTTATTTATGTATATCTTCATACATCTAGGGCGTATATATACTGAGAAAACGAGCATATATACTATACTTGCTGAAACCTGAAAGAGCCTCCTGCTCACCCAAAACTGTCACGGACTCTATGCCGGGACAATGTCGGGGACGCTGTATCCATTTCCAAGGCCTATTCTACCACGTATGTACTGACTCAGTGGTGCCATAGAAAGCAAGAAAAATCAGTTCTTCCCTATTCCCGATTTATGACAGCTGGTAAAGAGTGAGCAGAAAATTTTATTTAACATTCAACCGTTTTTTACCACCAATGACTTACTTTTTGTAAAGAGGAACATACGAGAAAGTCACAGATCGATTTGTAACGATCGAGTTTTTAATATATTTTTTTCTAAAAGCAAAGATCCATAAAAGTTTTCTGTAGGCTGACCTGAACTTGCACCTGAAATATAAACTGCCCCATCCATCCTTGCATCATCCGATTCCCCCTCAAAGTTCTCGGGATGTGGTACGCTGCCCTATTCTTCATTCTCTGGTCAGCAACCCCGGCACCACTAGTCCAGTAAGGGATAAAGAAAAACTACCCGCTCGAAAAGGATCCACATTTAGAAATTATTATTCTTAGAGCTAGGAACCATCCGAGAAGAGCTACATCTACATATGATGGAGTGGAAAGTAACGCATTGTCACATATGCTTTACTCGGATATCCAATTCCGGATCGATACTACCCGGGTCAGCAAAGCCCTCGATTGCTACAGGGTCACCTGATCGGTACCTGGCTCTTTCGGGAGGAAAAATGCATTGGCTTGTTCATCAGCTGACCACCACCATTCACTGTATAGGACTCATACGCATTCACAACGCCACTACGATTCGGGCTAATCCCAAGAGAAACGGCCAGAAAATGCTATGCTTTTATTGGGTTTCACACAGAGCTCCCAGATAGAGATATACAATTTCTCTACGCTACTGTATCTTACTTAGATTATTAACATGATCTTTGAACAGTGTCAATTTCATAGAGAGCCAGTATTTCAGATGGACGGTATAGCTATGGGGACATACGTGCACATGGAAGCGCATACCGTGACATCGGAATTTTCTGCATGGATAATTGGACCATCAGATGTTGTGGGGCAAATGGCGAAAATCGCTGGAGCAAAGGTTGTTTCTGATTGTCCAAACATCAGATTTTTTCTCTCTGAAAGGGCACACTTAGAAGTTTTGATTTAAGAATTGGAAAATGAAGAGAATTCTTAAAAAAATGTAAATACAATTGCGAGTTCAATGTGAGCCAAAATAATAATCCGGATGTCGACCAGGTCATTCAAGCCTTCCAGGAGCTACCAGACCTATTAGGAATATTACAGCATCGAGTAGTCAAGTAGTATCACAGCATCAAGTAGTACATGAGCAGGCCACAGCAATACATTGTATAATTCACATATGTACATACTCAAACGCCACTCCTGTTCTGAGGGGAGTCGAGTGCGTAGCGCTCCTTTGAACGGGTTTGATTACCGTTCAAGACCTAATGCTTTGAAGGTTCTTATATCTGCTCTAAACAGACTAGATTCTTATAATCTTTGAGTGTTCTCGTACGAATACCACCCCGGCTTCTAGAAATTAAATATACAGCTCTCCTACATAGTAGCGCGACAGTGCCAGACTAATGCTATGGAGAAGTAGTTGAACTAAGCAAGTAGCCATTTGTTCTAATTGTGAATAAGTGATAATTCGAATGCATTCAGTACAACGATGATGAAGGAATTTACGAAATCTCCTGCCAAGCCACACCACCAGCAATAAGGATCTTCATCGGAAGTAATATCTACTATGTGGACCATACAAACTACATTGTTGAGGTTTGTTTTTCAAATCAGTGACAAACACATCCTAGAGGTCTGAAACACCTCAGCATCTGCGTCTTACTTGATTGCCCCAAGACATTGTTCACCTGGTCAATACTACTTTGCCGCCCTTTACAGTTCACCATTTATATGCAAAAAAAAATACCCTAGCTATAGCTGAGTTCACGATAAAAGGTTTCCGAAATTCTCAGCAAGAGAGAACTTAAGGCTTCCAAGCAGGCCATATGTGGAGCAACCGGAAAGAAAAATGGCCGGCATAGGGCGCATGAAGGTCTCAAATACCTTTCCGGCCGACGTCCACGCCTAA